GAAGCAGACAGAGATGGATGCTGGTGCTCAGCTTGCTTCCTCTTTTTTATTCATTACAAGATCCTGGCCTAAGGAATGCCGCCACCCACAGATACAGTGAATCTTTCCACCCCAATTAACTCAATGTGGAAACTCACTCAGACATACCCAAACATTCTACGTGTTTCACTATTGGTTAGAGTCTGAATATAAAGGAGAATGTGCTATTGTGTGGGGTTTTATTTTTTTTTCTGAGATTATAAGATCTCACTTATTATTATTTATTCTAAGTCCACCCATTTTCCTACAAAATTTGTGATTATGTTTTGTGGCTACAGGTTTCTAAAGGAATTCACCCATGGGTTCAATATGTTTAAAATATATTTTGGGGTGGTGAGATGGCTTTGTCAGTAAAGGATTCTGTCACCAATTCACATGACCTGAGTTTGATCCCCAGGACCCATGTGGTGGAAAGAGTGAAATGACTCCCTCAAGATGTTCTCTGACTTCCACACCCATGCCTTGGTGTAGCTCCTACCTCATATAAATGTATAGAAACTTCATTGGAGCAAAGCTTTCTTTATATGGCTTTTGTACATTTTCTGGCCTTTCCCTTTGCTATTGCAGGTAAGTAGGAGTTCTCTTTTAAAATAGCTGTTAACTCGTGAATAGTTAATAGAGAGACTGTTTGTTTATTTAAACTAATTCTATATACTGCCAGCTTACAAAAGTGTTGTTGTAATGGTATTTTTTACCACCGAGTCTTTAACATACACAATCAGCTGCAACTGAAGTAATTCTATTTCCTTGTTTCTAATTATACCTTCAAATGCTGGTCTTAATTGGATTGCCTAGAACTACTGGAATTTCATTCCTGATTTTAGTGGAAATACCTAGAGTGTTTTGCCATCAAAAGAGATATTAGCTTTGGAGGTAACTGAGTGTACATAATTATGCAAAGGAAGAAAGAATGCATTCATTTTTTTCTATTGAGCTTTTTAAAAAATGAGTCATGGTTATTGTTTTTTCAGGTTTCTTATCATAATAAAAAGAAATGTCCATGTGCTTTAAAAAACAGATACAATATTTAATATTAATTGATTTCTTAGTTTTAAATCTTTCTCAGCATCCTAGAATGAACCCTACATTATTTTGTATGTTTTGTTTAATATGTTCCTGAGTCTGTGTAAAGATTCTTTTAAAAAGAATATTTTGAAGAAAGATTTAAATTTGGTTTTCTTTTAGTGTTTATTATTTTCATCATTTTGTATTAGTTTTCAGTTCATGAAACTAATTAGGAAAATTCCCTCTATGTTTACATCTGTATGTTTTAAGTAACAGAGAAATACCTGTTCTTTAAAGGACTGGTCCCTACATCCAGGTTTGCCATTCTCCATCCTCTTGCACCTGGTGATCAAGGGTTGTTGGGACAGTGTGCCCACTTGTGCCTCCATCCCAGAACTAGTTGTCTTGGATGACTATCGAGTAGGAAGTAGGAATGAGATTGCAGGGGTAAAAATCTCAAAGGCACATGGGGGTAATGGGTGGTTAGAGTTCTTTAACAACATACTTATTAGTGTGAGGATATACAGTGACAATGATTATTTACCAAATTTAGGTGATTGTGAACCTTCTAAACTCATCCCTGTGCTCTCCTGTAAAATCCAGTGTTAGCCAAGAACCCTGCAAAAACCACTTGAGCAAGAACCTGCTTACCCGACCTGTCTCCTCCATCACTTCTCAGGTGGTGTCTGGCCTTTGTCCACTGTCACCTGCAGCAAACCTGTTAGTCCACTTTAGGAAGAAGTCCACTTAACCGAGGTTGCCTCTTTGCAGCTTTCCAGGCACTGTGGCCTCCGTTTCCCTCACTTTCCTTCCCATTTGCACACGTTGTATTAGGAGTTGACCCCAACTCTTTCCCCCATCGACAAAATCCCATTTGTGTTTCTGTACGGATATCTATGGTGATGTTCTGATGCCTGACTGTCTCTGATTTTCTGAGGCTGCTTCAGGTCACTCCATTGGGCAGACATCACCATCTCAAGGTAATTTTGTAATGGTGATGGGTGGACAAGGCACATTCTTGTTAGGGTTGACAGTGGTTTGGTCTCTTTTCACATCCTGCAGAGGGCAGGGGAAGTAGAAGCCATGCTGCTGTCTGCCACAATGCAGGGTGGGGAGCTGGGCGAGGGGCAGGGGGGACTACCAGGAGACCCTAGTCCTGGGGACATAGAGGGAAAGCACATGATAGGAATAGAGCCCCTGGCCTCTGTATCTGCAGGGTTGTTTCCTTTTGGTTAGAGGCAGGGACCTGAGGGACAAGACAGCTAGATGAGGCTGTAGCTCCTGTCTCTTTTTCTAAGCTGGGGTGGGATGGGGGTGGGTGGGCTCCTGAGAGCTGAAGCCCAAAGACACTGCTGAGTGAACCATGTACAAGTCACAAGCCTTGTGGAAAGCATGGCCACCCTGGGCTCCCTTTCCCTCAGAGAGGTGGCATCTGCAGACTCAGGTTTTCAGCTGTGGTCCTAGGGAACTGGCTGGGGCTCAGAGCTCACTCAGGAAGAGGCAGAGGCTGTGAACAGATATCTGGGTATTGTTTTATATCTAGGCAAGTACATCTTTTTGTGAGGGTTTTTTCTTTTTTTTCTTTTTTTCCAAAACAGAATTTCTCTATGTACCCCTGGCTCTCATTCTGTAGACCAGCCTGGCCTTGAACTCAGAGATCTGCCTGCCTCTGGAGTGCTGGATTAAAGCAGTGAGACACCACTGCCTAGCTAGGCAAGCACTTGTTGCCCCTTCATAGGCAAATAGGAAATCCTCCCCTAGCACCTCCTCCCCTACCCCAGCACGGAGGCTGACAGGAGCTACATAGTCCTCTGTCCAATAGTCAGGAGAGACAGAGTGTGTGACTGTGTAAGTGTATGCCACATGTGTGCAAGTGCCAGCAGAGGCCAGAAGAGGGGATTTGATCCCTTAGAACTGAACTTCCAAGCAGTTGTGAGCCACCTGATACAGGTGTCAGGAACCAGCGTCGGTCGGGATCCCCAGAAGAGCAGCACGTGCTCTTAACTGCTGAGCCATTGCTCCAGCCACAACAGAGAAGTCTTAAAATTTTTTCACGTATATTTTTGTACGTATGCATATAGGTGTGAGGGTACACACACGCCACTGGCTGAATGTGGAGGTCAGAGGACAAGCTGTGGGGGTCAGTTCTCTCCTTCTACCACGTGGGTCCCAGTGATCATGCTTGGTGGTGCTCACTCTTAACTGCTGTACCATATCTCCAGGTTTAACTTCACCTTTAAAAAAACCATCTATTCAGTTTTTGCATTTCCTAAACAGGACAAGTCTAATTTCTTTGGCTTCTACCCACATCATTATGCAAAAGCAGACTGTTCATTTTTGTAGTTGTTTTTTGTGCACTGCTATTACCTGCCCTTATAGCTGTGGTTTGTCTGCCTGGGTAACCAAGTTTGGCAGCAAGCATCTGGTCCAGACCCAGCGTCTTCCCTGGACACATGTTGGGTCTTACCGCTACTTCGACTGAAAGGCATTTGGATATTAAAAAGTAGTGGAGAAGCCAGGTGGTGGTGGCACAAGGCCTTTAATCCCAGCACTCAGGAGGCAGAGGCAGGCAGATCTCTGTGAGTTCAAGGCTAGCCTGGTCTCCAGAGCTAGTTCCAGAAAAGCCCGCTACATGGAGAAATCCTGTCTCGAAAGATCAAAACAACAACAAAATGTGGTGGGGATACGAATTTATTTGGACTTGAGTGGATATGGAGAAGCTGGGAAGGCACACACTTACCTAAGGGGCTGGAGGAGGGGCATAAGTGCACTTGAGTCACAGTGTAGATCTGCAGAACCCAGGCAAGTGAAGAAACTGATCTGAGACAGAGAAGCCTGCATGCAGAGAAGAACAGAATCCTAGACATTGACAATGATTTGTGCACTTTGGTGAAATGGGCAGGACACTGGGCTTTGAATGTCTCCCCTGGTGGGAGTGCAGATTTTCCATACACCCTGGAGCATGGCTGATACATCTCTGTCAAGAGCCAAGGCAACAAGTAAGTGTGTCCCCTCCATCTCCTCTCCCCAGTGGCTTTACAGAGACCAAGCCTTGTCAATTGTTAGAGAGCTAACTGATGCTTGCTCACTCTTGTATCCTGAGAGCCTGATGCTCGCTGGGCACTCAGGAAGTTTTAAATGGAGGAAAAGAGGGAGAAAGGAAAAAAAGTGCTTTTATTTCACTTCTGTTGCTGCTGCCCTAACAAAAAGCAACTTAGAGGAGAGAGAGTTTGTCTTAGCTAGAAATGCCAGGTTACCGTCTGTTACGATGGTAGCAGAGACAAGGTGGCAGGAACTTGAAGCAGCCGTTGATGTCACATCCACAGTCAAAGAGCACAGGGAAGCAAAAGTATGTCTGTCTAATGATCATCTAGCTCTCTGCCCTTACACAGTTACCACTTTCAGGCTTGGTCCCCCCATGTCAATTAAGGCAATCAACGTATTCCCCCACAGGCCAGCCTAATCTAGATAGTCCCTCACTAAGAGGCTCTGCTCTTTGTTGGTAATTCTAGATTTCGTCAAGTTGCCAATTAAACATAACGCAAATAGACAGGTCAACAGTTGGGCCATAGATAAGCGTGGCTAATGCCTTTCCTGGTCACCTCTGAGGCCCACTCCGCTATATTTCAACTCCCCTGGAGTCAACAGCTTGCAGGAAAACTTACTGTTGTACTCTCAGCTAATTCTATTGCATTAGGGGAGCTGACCCTCAGTGCAAGTAGAGACAAACCTGGGTAATAATAGCACAAATGAAATAAGAGTTAAGGAGAGGCTTTCCTCGTAGAGAGAGTAGCTGTTGGTCCAGGGCCTTTGTGTCACCTGTGGCTTGTCCCTAATCACTAGAGTTTAAATCCAGTGACAGTCCCGTAAGTGCCCACAACGGTTTCTCTTGTGGCTGCACATTCTTCAGCAAAGCAATGTCAGGGGGCCTGACTCATCAGAAATAGTTCCTCAGAATCCTGTGTGTCACCAGATGCCCTTGAGTGCTTTTCACAAAAGCTGCTGTCTCAAGAAGCGCATGAAGATAACGTACAAACAACAGACTACTGCGAGTCACCGGAGAGCTATACACCTCTAACCACACATTTTGTTTATTTTTCACTGTGTTTCCTTCACAGCCTTTCTTGTGGCTCACCCTATGCAGTTTGTGTACTTGCCAAGAACATTATCTGTTTTGACGCTGCTCTTACCTAGCTCAGTTTTTCCGAGACCCTCTTCTCACAGGCTGAGTTTCACCTCACACCTGCAGTGGGCCAGTTTTCAGTCAGAGGAGAGGCCACATCTGCTTCCTGGAGGCCCTCTGGTCAGAAGCATGCATGGCTGGCTGTTCCTGATCTGGGTCCAGGGGCTGACACTGGCTGCCTTCCTCACTTCAGGTAAGGCCTGCAGGCCTAGCAGGGCAGGGAGGAGGGCTTGGCAGAGGCCAGGGTGCTCAGGTAGAGAAGGCTGAGTACATGTCACACCCATGTATGTCGGGTGGTTCTGCGGCCTTCTGTGACCTTGAGGGAAGAGGCAGTCTCTGGGAACGGGGTGTGGGGGTGTTTGGAATTGCAGGGGATGGCCTTTGTAGATCCTCTGGCTTGGGGGCTCTGACTGGTCAGCTGTACAAGAAAGTGGGTCAGGGATGGAAGCCAAGAAACTTCCTGGAAGCCCACTCCTCTCCCTCTCCATTTCCTTTCTCTTTCCAAGGAACTTCTAGAAAAATATTCTAGCTGGCTGTTAATCAGAAATACCTGCTTCCCACACTTTTGGGGTCTCCCACTAATACCACTGGCTAAATTTTGTTGTGTGTCTATTGTCTTAGGTACACATTTCTGAGGGAAAGGAACAAAGTATTTAAAGACTATACTGCAAAGTCATTTAAAGGCTGAACTTATATCGCTCTGAAGGTGGAGAGGAGCTGGGGTAGGGGTAGGGGGAGAAGATGCTTTCAGCTAGGAGAGTCTTGTCCTGTCCTCTCCTCCCCTGCCCTTTCTTGTCCTCTTCCCCCTGCCCTCTCCTCTCATCTCTTCTCCACTCCTCTCCTGTCCTCCCCTCCCCTCCTCTCCTCCTCTCCCCTTCTCTCCCCACTCTTCTCCCCTTTCTTGCCCTCCTCTCCTCTCCTCTCCTCTCCTTCCCTTCCTTCCCCTTTCCTTTCTTTCCCTGTCCCCCTTCCCCTCTCTCTTTTACTATATTTTGTTTTCCTGACAGACACAGGGTCTCATTACATTTCTAAAGCTGGTCTCAAACTCACTATGTTGTCCAGGCCGGTCTGGAACTCACTATGCTTCAACCTCCTGCTTCCACCTCCTATGTACTGGGATTAAAAGCATCTATACTACTCCTGGCTGAGCAGCAGGGTTTCTTGCCAAGTCTCCTTTCCCCCAGGATTCTTTCCCTCTCTCTCTCCTGAAGGTTTTTCCTGGCATCCCAAATGGCAATCAAATAGCCCAGTTCTATTTCAAAGGGCAGGGTTAGACACAAGTCTAGACTGCTGGAAACTGCAGAGCAGCAGAAGATAGGTGGGTACAGGGCTGATATCCTAGGTGGGAAGATTAAATAAGCTCAGGAAAATAATCAGCCACCTAGTCAGGAAGCTGCACAGAATGTCCTGAGTGGACAAAGTGCTGAGCCATGTGGTAATACGCCAGGTATTTAGTAAGGTGTTACAATGCACAGGTGGTGAGAAAGGGAAGTCTTCTAAGTTGGGGTCCTCAGGGGTGTGGGGGCATAGCTCTGACAAACAGTGAAAGTGACAGAGTGAGGCAGAAGCAAGCTCTGGAAGTAGCAGTGCTGGGCTGGAATAGAGTACATGGGAAAATAGAGCACATGGAAGAGAGTACAAGGAGATTGGAAAGCAGCGGGGGCGGGACTTGGAGCCTTGAATGACAGGTATGGTAAGTAAGGATAGTCTCTGGAAATGAAGGAAAGAGGAAACAATGATAGTCTCTGTGGGGGAATGCCAGGATAGATTGCAGACTATAGACTCTGTTCCTAGAGCCAGTTCTGGCTTCTAAACACCCTGGGATTCTTCAGGAAGGTTGAAGGGCAGCTGCTGGCTAGAGCTTCATGTGTGCTTCTCCCTCTCCCACAGGAGCCACAGCAGGCACAATAGAGACAAAGGAGAACATTTCTGCAGAGGAAGGTGGCTCTGTCATCTTACAGTGTCACTTCTTCTCCAACACAGCTGAAGTGACCCAAGTCAACTGGGAGCAGCAGGGTCAGCTTCTGGCGGTTTACAGTGCTGACCAGGGGTGGTATGTCTCTTCAGTCTTCAGTGAGCGGGTGGTTCCAGGCCCTAGCCTAGGCCTCACCTTCCAGTCACTGACAAGGAATGACACGGGGGAGTACTTCTGCATCTATCACACCTATCCTGATGGGATTTACAAGGGGAGAATATTCCTGAAGGTCCAAGAAAGCTCAGGTATGTCCTTTGAAAGTGGCAAACCACTTTCTTTCACAGAGAAAACACTATCCTGAGACACTCTGGGAGGTAGAGTGTCTCGATCTTGGAACACATCAAACTCACTGGAGGGACTTTTGGGACATGGTAAAGACAGAGCAACTCAAGCTGATGAATCAGAACTTCTTGCGGGCAGAGCTAGGATCTGATATGTTCTGGAAACATCCCGCTGAGTCTCATGCACAACCACTGATTTTGCATAGGAAGTACACCTTATCTAAACTGACGAGACCCATGGATGAGGGCACATGATTTAGTATCGGTCATGCAGATTAGAATTAGTTCTGAATTTCAGAGCTGATTTAAAATAAGGCGTAGCCTGTCCCAAGTACAAATATATAATATTCACTCACCTTCGTATGATGAAGCTTCAAAGCTTCCAAACATTCTCATAATGATTATTTTTGGGCAAATATGAGCCAGTTTTACTGAGGGAAAGGATTACTAAAAGCACATCTGAGAGATAGTTTAGCAGGGTAATAAAGTGTTCAGCCTCTGATGTCAAGACAACTTGGGTCCAAACCTTGCTGTTGGCCTCAGACAGGAATTTAATTCCTGTGCATCACTTTTCTCACCTGTGTGTGAGGATGGGTCTAAGGCTTTATGAGGTGCTATTGTGGGGTTGGACAACCTACTATAAGACAAAGTACAGTTTCAGGAATATAGCAAGTGCCATGTTAGGTATTGACATGAGTGTGATTCCCACCTGATTGATGGTGGCAGAAGCTAATTAAGGCTTGGGATTGTTCAGGGTGGAAAGCTGATGTCAACACAGAGGTCTGGCTCCATGACACGCTACACTCAGAACTGCTTACCATCGGTCATATTGGAGTTTAGGTAGAGAACATATGTACATTGAACTTACGTCGAAGTTTAAGTTTCATGAGTCTTAAGAAAATATGTACATCAAAATGATAAAAGTTTACCTTAAATTTCCTTTTAAATATTACTTCTTGGCTGGCTCCATCATAGATTAAATACAATAAGTATCCAGGAGCCCAGGTTCTAGACTCACATAGCCTGAGACTACATGTTGTGATATGTCCTGGATATCTGTGGTATTTAATTTTTTCTTGTATTTTGGGCCTATCATGTAAGTAATCATCTCATGAGTGGTTACAAATAAGATCTTGGGACAGTGCTGTGTGTCACACTGACTCAGGAGAGGCTTCACATTAAAGAGGACAGGAGAGCTAGGCCGCAGTAGGCCTCAGCATGTGGTAGCTGTGACAAGTGTGGGCTTTTTACCCCAATGTGGTATTTCCCAGAGCCTCTCACCACACTGAAGGACCCATAGATTGAGGCCTCTCAACCAGAAGCCAGACAGAAGCCGTGTGGTTTTTGCTCATATTTGGGCCAAAACACTTTGTTGCATGTGCCCCTCTCCAGCTTCTACCCCAGCCCGAGTGTTTCCACCACCTCTGAAATTGTAAACACCAGGGAACACCAGTGGTCCAGTGAAATTCCCCTCTTGATCTCAAGGAGTCAGCTGTTTACCTCAAGGCAAACCCTCCTCTAATTGTTTGCATCAACTCTTTCCCTGCTCTCCTACTGACACTGATCTCAAATATTGACCCAAGTCCCTAGTAACTGTATTATAGAGACTGTTCTCTGACCAGAGCTGGAGATGTAGCTCAGCCGTAGAGTGATTGCCTAGCATGCACAGGGCCCTGGGTTCAATCTCTGGTATACCACAAAGAACACCGAATCTCTACTGCAGATTATATTCCTTCCACACCTGCGCGCTGCCCTGAGGCTCTTACAGTTTCAAAGACCTTGAACTCTTTGTTCTGAAACCATGCCTGTAGATGGAAGAATGAGTGTTTTCATTTTAAACCAAAAGTTGCTAGTGAAGTTGGCAATTTTAACATCCCAAATTCCCTCTACCTTAACTCACCCTTAAACCCAATCACATTCGTTGTCATAATCTTTCCTAAAATCCCATGTGTCTAGCTGCTTGTTTCACCCTTCAGCTTTGAAGAGCCCAGTAGTAACTTGGCCTTGCAAGGTGTTTCTGCCGTTGGTTCTGCCCTCCTCTTCTGTCCACGTCCTCTCCTTGCCCTCCAGACCCTCTGCACCATGCAGTGTCCACACGGTGGTCTTCTATCCCCTTTCTTCCTGAGTGAGCCTGGCTATGTCCATCAAGGGGGCCAGCCTGGCCTACACTGACCAAGTCCTTAGAGTAGGAGGAGCATGCTGGGACCTAGGATGTGGCAGGCATGCTCTTTATCCTAAGGGCTCAGACACCATAGTCTTCTTTTCTACAATCGAAACCTGTAGTTCAGGGAAGTGGGGCCATGCCTTTTCTTATTTCAAGTCTTCCCAGGACTCTGGGGTTCCTGCCAGGGTCCCTGGAGAAGAGGGAAAGGTGGGAGAAAATGTCCTAGAAACCATTCTTCAACACACCACAGCTATTTATTTAGCATCTACTATGTAGCAAGACTGAGAAAACAGCAGAGGGTGAGGCTGCAAGAGCCTCACTCCTTCCAGGGTTTCAGATCTGGGCTATAGGGCTGAGGTGAAAAGTTATTGCTTTTCCTTTCCATAGTTTGGTTTCAATTTTGTATTAACCAGTTTTTACTACTATGGATGTGTGTGTGTGTGTGTGTGTGTGTGTGTGTGTGTGTGTGTGTGTGCGCGCGCTTATGAATGATGAAAGGAAAAATTCACCCCCAGAGTTTCCTTTTGCATTTATTTTATTATAGATCTGTTATTGGTTTCTTTATTTTATGTGTGTGGGTGTGTTGGCCTCATTTATACTGTGTGGCTCCTGGTTCTGGTGTCTGTGGAGGCCTGACAAAGAGTTTGGATTCCCTGGGACTGGAGTTATAGATGGTTGGGAGCTGCCATGTAGATGCACTATTTGTTTCATTTCATGAGTTCTGAAAACAAATGGTTGACTAGGGGAAAGGATTACAAAAAGTAGTCCAAGGTGGACATGAGGTGCATCACTCCATGGGAGATCTGCCACCAACTCCCCTGGGGACCAGGGAGATGCTCAGCTGACCAGAGAGTTAAGGTTGAAGACTCCAACAGAGGACAGTTCTTGCAAATCCCACCTCTGGCCTCCAGCGCCCCAATTGAGGTTGGCCGCAAATCAGAGATCTGCCTGCCTCTTGACTCTCAAGGGCTAGCTCATAGGTATGCACTCCATGACTGGCACTGGTTTTTGAGAGAATCGAGGCTTCCCCAGAGAAGGCAGTTTTGCTCCTAGCCTGTGTCACTCACCCCTGTGTTGTTCTCCCTGTAGCGGCTCAGTCCCAGACTGCATTGCTTGGAGGAGCCATGGCCACTGTGCTAGGACTCATCTGCTTAATGATCACAGGAGTGACTGTACTGGCTAGAAAGGTAAGGGAGAGTCACCTCTATCCTTGCCACCCTGGTGACTGTTGATGCCCTGTCTACTCAGAGAGCCCCAGATGTGATCTCTGCCCTTGTTCCCTGTGCCTTTCCCATGGTTCTTGTTCTGCAGTTTAACACATTTCTTCATTTACGTTCATTCGGGTCCTTCCTCCAGGCTGGGAGTTCCCAGAAGGACAACCCTTATCTTGTCCATCTCTCTGTCCGGCATAGTTGCTAGTTCCTGCCTGTCCCCTAAGCCACTGCTCTGAGACTGCACCCACTGTGAGTTTGGTGCATTGTAGAGGTTGTCTTCTGGACGCTTGAGCTTTTGTAGTTCACAACTCATTGGCTGTGCTGGGCTGCCCCAAGCTACTGTAGGTTGAGAAATTAGCATTCGGAATTTGGGAAGTTGAAGACACACATCAAAATCAGACATTTGTTGACTTCAGTTTAAGAGGCCATTGTCTGAAAGAGTCAAGGAAGGGAACCAGAGGGAGGGTTTAGTTTCTAGCTGGGCACTAACTGTATGATTTTAAGCTTGTTACTTAGTTTTTCAAGATCTCCATTGCTTTGCATGTAAGATGGGGGCTATAGTTTGGTCTTCTGTCACAAAGTTGGGATACATGGTTGTCATGTATCAGGCTTTTCTTGGTAATGGAGAAAGGTATCAACATTCTTGCTGTGTTCTAAGATGGTAGCTACTGATTGGGATGAAATAAAGAGTTCGCAATTTTGGTCTGGATGCCTGGGCCCTTTAAGCTAGCCCAGCTCATCTACTTCAGTCCACTATGAAAACATTTTAGGGAATGCAGCCTGAGAATCATGAACCGTTTTCTACTTTTTCTGAAACTTCCTTCACTTTCCCACCATGTTTCCCAATAACCTCATCTTGCTGGTCCTGGGCCTACTCTCCAGGTTAGGTACTTGACATTTATTTATAAATAAGTAAACTGAAATATTTAAATTAAAACATAATCACATCATTTTCCCCTTCCTCCCTCTAGCTCTCCAGTTTTCCTTACCACCTTGATCTCACCTTGACTCCCTCTTTTTCTTTAATTGGTGCTACATATATTCCTGAGTGCATAAATACAACCTGCTCAATCTGCATAATGTTACTCGAGTATCAATGATTTCAGAACTGACCATTTGGTATTTAGGTTTATCTACTTTATTTTATATGTCTGGTGTTTCACCTGTGCATATGTTTGTGTACCATGAGTGATGCCCATGGAAGTCCAAGGAGGGCGTCAGATCCCCTGAAACTGGAACTAATGGCTGTCTGTGAACCACCATGTGGGTGCTGGGAATTGAACCTGGGTCCTCTGCAAGAAGAACAAGTGCCTTTAACTGCTGAGCCATCTCCTCAACTCCATAGCTGCTGTACTTTCCCCTGTACATTCCCTCACCCCAGTTTGCTGTTTTGTGAAGTAAGGTTCATTTTATCAGATAAAAGACCTACTTGCTAGCGATGCATTCTTCTGCTATTCTTTTAGTGATTATATTAGGTGTTATAAAATGCACCTGGACTTATTCAAGTTCTGCTATATTAGCAATAACCAGTGTCCTGTGACTTCCTGGGATATGCAAGAACCATAGATCGTAGCAGTTATTCCTCTCTGTCTCCACCACGTGGCTCCATCATCACCTTGCCGTTTAGTCCTTTCCATTTTTTAGACCCACACACATGAACTCACATTATTTTGTGAGTTCCCATGCCTCAGGGTCCACCCCTCCCATTGCTCTTCTTTCTGGCCTCCCTGTCCAGGCTTCTAGCTGCCATTTTTCTTCTTCCTGAGGAACATCCTGCAGTGTTTTTTGCAAAGGCAAAGAATTATTTTGGTTCTTTGTTGTTGTTGTTCTCCTAAAACCTGTTTACCCTATTGCTGTAAACATGGTATGTTGTTTTACTAGGTGTAGAATCTTGTGTGAGTCATTATTTTCTTTTAGCTCATGGAAAATATTATCCCATTGTCTAACTTCATATTTTTTTTGGAAACTGGGTTTTATCCTTACTTTTTAAAAAATGCCTTTTCTCCTTCTTGTTCTTTTAACATTTTCTGTCTTCAGTTTTCAGCATTCGTACAATGATATAATTAGATGTCATTATCTTTGTATTTATTCTGTATGGGATTTGGATCGAGTGGGGTTTTTTTCCAGTCTGTGGTTTGATGGTTTTTGTCAGTTTTTGGGGTCAATCCTGGCCATTTCTCTTTATATATTCCTTCTCTATTCTTGCTGTCTTCTCCTTCTGGACCTCTCATTGCAGGGACTTTCCGCACTTCCCTTTTCTTCCATATGTCTCCTAGTCTCGTTTGTGTTTTCTGCCCATTTGTATCACCGAGTTTTGTGGTGGGTCTTTTCTTCTAGCTTACCTTTCAGGTTACCAAATATTTCCTTTGATATATCTATTCTTTGTTTCAATGGTTTATAGCCTTTCAACCCTCCTAACCTTTGAGCACATTTATCAGCTATTCTGTTCCGTGCCTAACTATCCTGTTAAAAGGATAGTTAGGCACCCTCTCTGGGGCTTTTTCTGATGTCCGTTTTTATTTGTTTACCAGTCATATGTTCTTCTCTTGCCTGGTAGTTTTCATGGCATGCTGGACATTCCCCAGGAAGCACTGCAGCATCTTCTTATGCCCCGCCCTTTGTAGCTAGTAGGTGACTATTTTCAGGTGTGAGCAATCCCAGGTCACCTGAATTAAAGCAGCTATGACAGGTTGTAATATTTTCCTTATTGTGTGATAAAGTGCTTGATGACTATTTTCAGGTGGGAGCGATCCCAGGTCACCTGAATTAAATCAGCAATGACAGGCTGTAATACTTCCTTTATTGTGTGATAAAGTGCTCCATAGAAGCAGCTTAAGGAAGGGAGTGCTTATTTTGCCTTATGGTTTGGAGGTTGTTTAGTTAGGGGTCTATTGCTGTGAGGAGACACCATGACCATAGCAACTCTTATAAAGGAAAACATGTAACTGGGGCTGACTTACAGTTCAGAGGTTTGTTCATGGTAGAAAGCATGGTATCATGCAGGCAGACATAGTGCTGGAGATTTAGCCGAGATTTCTACATCTGAATGCACAGGCAGCAGGAATAGAGTGCCACACTGGACCTGGCTTGAGCATCTGAGACCTCAAAGCCCACCCCTAGTGACACACTTCCTCTAACAAAGTCACACCTACTCCAATAAGGCTACACCTCCTAACAGTGCTACTGCCTAGGTGCCTATGGGGGCCATTTTCTTTTAAACCACCACAGAGGTATAGTCCTTGCTGATGGGGAAGGTGTGGGCTGCATCAGGAGTGTGAGGTGGCTGATTATAGTCAGAAAGCAAAGCCAGATGAATGCTGGTATTTCGTTCCCTTTCTCCTTATCATTTGACCAAGTATCCTTGACCACAGGGATGGTGCCAAAGTAGAATAACATAGAAAAGACCAATTATTAGAGGTACTGATTTATTTAGTGATTTACTTAAAGCACTACTCATAATGCCAAGTATGACATCACTCGCTATCTGGAACAAAACGGCTTAGAGAAGCAGTTTAAAACAATGGGTCATTGCCCTTAACAACCTACTGTCTACCTCATACTTCTGTAAAATCTTGCTTTTCCACTCCACCTTGTGGTTTTAGAGTATAAAAAGAGAATACAAGCTGGACCTGGTACCAAGGCCTTTAGGAGCTGTCCTGGCTTCAGTCCACTGGTGACATTTCCTCTCTTCCATTCTCACTGGTGTCAGAATGCTATTCCAGGAAAGAGTTCCAAAACTGTGCCATCCACACTCAGGAAATGTCCTCCCAACTCAATACAACCTCACTGGAATGCCCACATAGACACACCCAGAAGTCTGCCTAAAGTCCATCAAACTAACAGTCAAGGTTAACTATCACCGGCCTTGGACCTGGATTTTAATTCCTGCTACTCCTCACTCCCAGGGTATAGTCTTTGAGGTTGTCAGTGGAAGGAAAGGCCTCAAGTGGTTTTGTTTGTTTGTCTCCTCAAAAGTTTCCTTCCATGGTAGTTTCTGAATTCCAACTTTATTTTTTCTACCCAGAAACTCTGTGTAGGTTACCAGTCTCTAAAGTATCACATGAGGCAATTTCCTCCAGAGAAACTGTACCCAAATGCTGCTTTAAAACAAACAAATAAAAACAATATAGAAACAACCTCTACCACAAATACCTCTCCACCTCATGCCCGTCACCCCTCCAAACCCAGGATTTCCCTATATAACTCAGGCAAGCCTGGAATTTTTAATCCTCCTGCCCCAGCTTCCTAAGTGTTGGAATTACAGGCATGAACCACCACGTCTAGCCCAAAAGCTCATTTTCTCCTCATGGGATATTTTCTCCTGGATCTTGCTCCCAGTCCAAAGACTGAAAATTACTCAACTGGCAGATACCTTATTTCTTCAAACGTTTTCTAATATTTCATCTATTTTTCTTCTTTATTTTGTGTATACATGTATATTGCTTCATATGTGTATTCAAGTTCAGATGTGTCTATACGAATGTGTGTGTGTGTGTGTGTGTGTGTGTGTGTGTGTGTGTGTGTGTAAGTCAGAAGGTGATGTAAGGTATCTTCCTCAATTGCTCTCTACCTTAAATATTGAGGCAATGTCTTTCACAGATTCCGTTAGTCTAGCTAGGCACTTTGCTCCAAGCATCTGTTGTCTCTGCCTCAGAGTGGTAACGGTAGTGGGCAGGTTACACACCCACTCACCTGTGCATCTGTGCTGGCAATCTGAGTTTTACCTTCTGAGCCACCTCCCCAACCCTCATATTTTTATTTTTATCTTTTTTCAAGGGAAGGGGACATTCAGACCAGCAGAGGAATTTGTTTTTGATGTTGTATTTTGTATCTTCATTCTAAGATTTACTATGAAGTCCAGACTTGGCAGGGCTACCTTCTTGGTCTCTTGGTTCTGTTGGATCAAGTCCCCTGCTGGGTTTTATTCCCACCCCACCCCACCCCCAAGTTCTGGCCAGCATCCAAAGAGAACT